GGCAGGCAGAGGGAAACCAGCTGTGCAGCATCTGCTGGAGACACAGAAGACTTGGTGGAGAGATTGGGGTGCCCGGAGAAGGCTTTCTGGAGGGTGTGATGGCAGAGATGAGCTTAAAGGCCAGGTAGGAATTAGCCTGGTGAAGCAGGGCAGGATTATAAACATTCCCAGGACAGGAGGCAGCGTGAGTGTTTTAATGCAAAGATGGCAGTTGCTGTAACAAACTATAAACAAACAAACAAGCAAATAAAGGCTTAAACGCAATAGAAGTTTATTTCTCACTGAGGGAAAGTCCAAGTCCATGATGGTTTAAGTCAGGGACCCAGGTTCCTCCCATCTATAGCTCTGCCACTGCTAATCTGGGGCTTCCATGATGGCCGTGCTTTTTGGAAGTGGGAAGAACAGGCAGAGGGTGCTTAGAAGGTTTGAGACACAGGCTTGGAAGCAGCCTGTCCCTCAAACCTTCTAAGCATCCTCTGCCACTCTGAGTGGAAGTGTGTCACTCTTGTGAAGAGTCCATTGGCCAGCACTGGCTCTGATGGCCACATCACTGCAGAGGCAGTGGGGAAATACAGTCTAGCTATCTACCTAGGAGGAGGAGTAGCCAGTCTCTGCTACAGGGATAAGGTGAGAACATGTTCAGTCGGGCATGGAGTGATTATTTCTTCTTTGTTTGTGCACAGCAGGTGGAAAGGGCATGGTGCCCTAGATATTGGACAAGGAAACTATAGTCATTGGAACTTTGACTTTTGCTCTAAACTTAAGGCCTTGGCTCTCTAGTTTGTAAATCAGGCTCTTGGTTGAATTTGGTTAGCATGAATTTATTCTCCAGCACCAAGTTACTCCCAAATGAGCTCGACTTGATGGGTTTCTGCAAGACTAAGCACGAGATCTTTAACTCATGATGAATCTATTAAGTGCAGTCTTCTGAGCGCCAGCTGCCTCCCCCAGGTCACCTTCTTCATTTCTCAGTATGAAAATAAATCTGATTAGAGGGTCCACTGAACAACATCCTCCGAGTAGCAGCTTCAATTGGAAGGGATCTTCGTACACATCTAGTCTGATCCCTGCCCCATTAGAGGTCCCATAAGTGATCATCTAAGCCAGCCGTGAGCTTATCACCTCAAAATTTATTCTCTTTGGAGTAGATCTGATTGTGAATATTTGTTTTTCTTTATATAGCCAGATGAAAATTTTTGGTTTGTAAGTTCATTTCTCTAGAGGTACACAGGGTAAATGTACTTCAGCCACAGGAAAGCGTTTCGAAACATTAGACTTGAAGGAATTATATGTAAGATGTAAACATTCCTTACAATGAATTTCTCTTTTCCTTAACTATGTAAAGACTGTTCAATTTAAGAGACGACTATGATTGAGTGACTTTTGTACTGTAGGCAGAGGAATGAGTCTGACTGGAACAAGTGCTAAGCTTGTCTTTTAATCTTCTATTGCATGGTGACTATCAGGAGCTGTGGAGGTTCTGAAATTTGACCTTATTTGCAAAGCTAACAAATGAGTCTGCCATAGTTTCAGGATACTGGCATTGGATGTGAGACCCCTGGGTTAGAGATAAAGGACAGTTAATTACTCGTAGCAATAGCAGTAGCCTGAGCACCATCATTTTCTTGTGCTGGTTCCCCAAGCCCTAATTCCTACATGGCAGAGAAGCAGGGCCAGGTGACAACTCCATATACAGGGTGTGTTACAGGAGAGGAGCCCTGTGTTTAGGAGACCCCATCTTTTATTATGGGCTGTAAGCAAACCTGCTCAGCTTTGCCTAGGGGAAAACATGATCTTCATTGTACTGAACAGCAAACAAACCAGCTTTCTCCTCCAGAGGGAGACACTACCTCAATTTTCCAAGGGTGTTCTCTATGCAAACATCTTTGGAAAGATTGTCTAGGGCAAAGAGAGACAGTCAGGGCCTCTGATTGCAGTATGTGAAGAAACAAGATAACCCTGGAGAACTGTCGCCCATTAGGATCTACCTTTGACTTCTGTTCAGCTCTTTCATAAAAATCTGCAAATCACCTAAAGTAGTACACTCATTTTTCTAAACTTCCCACCAAATCAAAATCCCATGCTAAAAGATGCACGAGCTAGTAAAAGGAAAAGAGAAGGCGGGAGCTGCATTATTTCATTAGTTCCCTGCTAAATTTCATTTGCAACACTCTCTATTCTTTTCATTCCCATCCAAGAGACTGCTTCCCTTCCACATAATTCAGATGAGAAGAAATTGATTTGTAGCAATGCATGAATTCAACTGAACTTTTATATGGATTATATAAAACTTAGGAATTTTATGTGACAAAGATAAAGGCGTGAACTTTTTTAAAAGTCAAGTGAGAGGCTTGGATAAAACATTTGCAACTTTTTAAATAGGCTGAAGATTAACAAACGTACTATTGCTCCTGTGTGTCCTACCTGCCAAAAAACCAACCAGCCAACAGAAAAAGGACAGAGAAGCTGAGTAAGTAACTCCCCAAAAGGGAAATGGAATGGGCTGATAATCTTTGAAGAAGTGGTTAACCTCAAGCACTCCTCAGGTAGAAGCAAATTAAGAGAATAAGACAGCCTCGACATATTGTGAAAATGTGAAGGGTTGACCGTAGCTGGCCTTGGTGAGAAGGTTAGAAATAAGCACTTTCAATGTGGGGAATGGTGAGGTAAATTGACACAAGCCTTTTGGAGCCAACTTCTTAGTTGAATCTCATGAGAATGCTAATTTAATATTTCTGGTAATAGTAAAATATTGGAAATAATGTAAGTAGCCATCAATAGGTGGATGGTTAAATAAATGATGGCATTTTATACTATGGTATAAGTCCATGGTATAAAATGCAGCCACGCAGCTTTTTTTCCTGACAGGCTTAAATATATATATATATATATATATATATATATATTATATAAATATATATATGAATATATATATATTTATATAATATATATATTTATATAATATATAAATATATATATTAATATATATATTAATATATATATTTATATATTATATATATATATACACACACACATGCATACATATACGCACACATACAATCCCTTTATAATTTTTAAATTTTATTATTGTTTATTATTATTATTTTTTAGAGACAGGATCTCATTCTGTCACCCAGGCTGGAGTGCAGTGGCATAATCATAGCTCACTGTAACCTCAAACTCCTGGGTTCAAAGTGTCCTTCCACCTCAGCCTGTAAAGCAGCTTGGATTACAGGTGCATGCCACCATGCCTGGCTAATATTTTACATTTTTTGTAAGATGGGATCTTACAATGTTGCTGAGGCTGGTCTCAAACTCGTGGGCTCAAACAAGTTATCCTACCTCAGCCTCCCAAAGCACTAAGCTTATACGTGTGAGCTACCACACCCAGACTCTGCAGCTTTAAAAAGAATGTAGAGTCTATTTACTGATTTTAAAGGATATCTAAGAAATTAATTAACAAGAGTTAATTAATAAAACTGAAGTTGCCAATCAATACTTGTAGTATGATGTTATTTTTTTTCTTAAAAAATCCAAAACAGGCCAGGTGCAATGGCTCACACCTGTAATCCCAGCAGTTTGGGAGGCTGAAATGGGTGGATCTCCTGAGGTCAGGAGTTCAAGACCAGCTTGACCAACATGGCGAAACCCCAACAGTTCAAGACCAGCCTGACCAACATGGTGAAACTACAGGTGTGTGCCACAATGCCCGGCTATTTTTTTTTTTACATTTTTAGTAGAGATGTCTCAAAAAAAAATCCAAAACATATATCTACCTGTAAATGCCTAGGTATGTGTATGCATATAAAAGGCACAGAAAATTACAAACCAGCTGCCAATGTCTGCTAGCTCTGAGGAGCGTAACAAGCTCCTCATGGATCAGAAGTGTAACTCCAGTTGAAGAAGCAGGTGGAATTTTAGAACAACCACACGGGAGAAAAAAAATCCTCCTATGTTTGCACAGCACAGAGCTGAGTGGCGTTATCTAGAGCTCCTTAATGAAAGAGAGAAACCACACTGATATCAAAAAAGAGATCAAGGATGATTAAAGAGTAGAAACTAAAACATATTAAAAGAAAGCAGTAATTCCAGGGATTGAGGAAACCAGCATACATATTATAGAGATGCAATAGATCCTCAGTGACCTGGGAATTAAGGTGTCACAAAACAGCTGCTCAAGGAAGTCTTACCAGAGGTTCTCAAAGTATGATCCTGGACCAGTGGGGTTATTGCCAAGAAACTTAGAAATGTTAGAATGCAAATTTGTAGACCCCGACTCAGACCTGTTTAATCAGAAACTTTGGCGTGGGCTCAGCAAGGTCTTAACAAGCCTTGTAGAAATTCGATGTTCACTTAAGTTTGACAAATGCAAATTTGGACAGATGCTTCTAAAGTTAAAAACATGTGACTCACCTGGGAGAGTGTTAAACAGCCGCGTCTGATTCAGCAGGAAAGCCGGGGAGCCTGAGGTTCTGGATTGCTCCCAGGCTTCCAGGTGAAGCTGTTACTGCTGCTTCTCAGCTGCATGTTGAGTTATATTTGAAGGAAGATGGAGTGAGCATTTAATGACCGGATGGATTCACAGGGAAATAGTCCAGGAAAATACAAATAGCAGCATCGGTTTATCTCCACTGGCATTTTGAGGAAAAGAAGCAGGAAAAATGCCATTTTCTTTCAGTGGCTTGTTACTTGGTGTTCTGTGGATGCTTTCACCAACAGCAGTATCTGTGCATATCTATAACTGAAACTCTAAGCATTACTTGCCACCCCTGATTTTTGTTAACCACTTCTCTTTGCAGATGCAAAAGCTGAGGCTGGACAACAGAGCTATTTTTGTTCCAAGGCCATAGAAGCCTTGGACAGACCAGGTTGGCAAAAGTCTCCTGACTGCGTGGCTGAAGCGCTTTCTGGAGGGCCCTTAAGGCTGTCTTAGTCAAGTCACAGTAGGAAGTAGTGACACAGCTCATGAGACTAACGTTGCTGTGGCTGAGTCGTAAAAACTGGCCCAGCTCGTCTCCAGGCTCTCTGGCGAATAACAGGAATCTTTACCATCCTTTCTGTTAGAAAGCATTTTATTTAAAATTCCTCAGCTAACTCAAAGGGTCAGCTGGCCTGTCACATGAAGTGGCTATCACATGGGGTAGAAACTGGCAAATAAATACAGCATCGCACCTCAGCAAACTCAGACCAAGACGTTCACAGGCCAGCCCAGTCCAGGAGGAGCTGGAGGCTTTCATTCTTAAACTAAGAGGTTTCCAGAAAAAGTGAAATAAAGCTTAGGTGTGTTATGCTGAATTTTGGGCACCTGTCCCCATCAATAACTTGGCATCCTCAAAATGCTACAGCAGGACTCCAAGGGCCAAGAATGCCCATCCTCCGCACAGACCAGGGACGGCCAGTGGCATCACTGTAGAGCTGCCTCTCAAAAATTGGAAGATGCCCAAAGGGAAGAGCTTGCTCCAAGGACAACTTGTTTGTTTACCGACCCTGGGGATGGAGAGAGACACATTCCTCAAATAATAAATGCCATTTCCCCTGCACACCCTGGAAAGAGTGCTGCACGTGGAACCTGTGGTTTAACTATAGCAATGCAGGTGAGCGACTCACGTGCATTTCTGTGATGGCAAACAGCAAGGTGGGCATAGTGAGCAGTGAGTTTCCTGGCTTACAGGCGGCAATCGGAAGTACGGTCTGGATGCTCTGGCACAGCTCTGCCTGCAGTCCAGGAAGCTTTTCTGTTATAAAAGTCTCCTTTCTGGACCACCTTTAAAGTGTAAATTAACTAGAGTGAAGTTGGTGTGCATTTTCTGGATCTGGCGGTGTGTGTAGGGATGGCTAAACAAGAGGTGTTGCCACTTCTCATTTTAGCCAAAGACTTGGCCAGAATCCTACGCTTCAGTGGGACTGGGAATGTGATGGTGAGAAGGAGGTGTGGGGATGAGTCCTGCACAAGCTGGACTCATTGGTCACATCTTCCCCAGCCCTTGATGTGCCTGGGGAATGATGGCTGCCAAAGTGCTGTGAGGGCTTGTCTTCAACAGGAGCCCGGATCTGCTGCTCCTGGGAGAAGGAGCAGAGAAGAGGACCCTTGCAGCCTTAAAGGAAAGTGCCAAATACCACTCTCTCTGCGTGTGAAAGCACCTGCTGTTCGGATTCAGATAAACACATTTCAGCTCTAGCACACCCACAGCATCTGTTCTCCCACCTTACACAGCAGCGCCTCACAGACTAGAGAACAGCACTTGAAGTTTCATCAACTGGGCTCCAAGGGGGGAAAAGGCTGGCTGACAGTGGGAGCTACTCCTGCTCAGAAAGGAAGGGAGGGACTCTGTATTCTTCCGAATATAAAACCCTAGTGAATTTCCAGTATTGCTAGGTGATGACAGGAGGGCATCGAAGCCCTAAAGGCTGGTAACCGAGCTGCCAAGCCAGGCTCTCCACGTGCCGTCATTAGGAGTAGTGGCAACACATGAGCATCCCCCCTGCCCTGCCAGGCCCTGTCTTTATCTCTGCCTTTCTCCCTTCCCTTTTTCATCTGCTCCTCTTCTCTCTTGTTTCTTCTCCCCTTTCTTGACCTAAAAGTAAAGAGTGTCACCCTTCAGATGTCCCTTGGCTACACTGTGGCCCCCAATTTAAGGAGGTAACTGGTTCTCTGCAGCTCAGAAGAAATGGGCCAGGGCCAACACTCATGTGGCCTTGAGTCAAACGCCAGCTTGGCTGCTGTGCAGAATGTTGTCTATTTTCAGTGCCCAGATTCTCCTCTAGAAGATGAGGATAATGGGCCCCCACTGCCGCACCATCGTAAGGATGATTTCAAGGATAAGGAAGATTGCCCTTCAGAGCATTCTCAGAGGAAGGGCACGGTGTGAGTGGTGGGCATTGTCGGGATTGTTCATTTACCTTCCAGGGTCCCTCATTGATGTCTTCCTCGTGTCTTTCTCATCTCCTAAAGCAGGCTGCAGTCTAAGACTTGTGGGTGGCTCAAGATCGTGCAAGGTGGGATGCCTCAGCTGGATTCAAGCAAAGAGCAATTGAGATCCTAATCCATGGCTCAGCCCACTGGATCGCAGTGACCTCTGGTCTCAGTAGTACCTGGAAGCCCAGCCTTGGTGGAGGAAATAATGCACCTTCTCTCCAGTGGTGTGGAAAGCTGCCTCCTTCCCCAGAAACTGGGTGGAATCCAGCTCTCTCTGTGTTTCTCAGCATCTCACACCTGCCCAGCACAGCCTGCTCCTTGCAGAGCAGGTGTTGGCCGGGGAGACCCTCAGTCTGGCGAGGGGAGAGTCAGAGGACACAAATCCACTTGAGAGATTGACAGGCCCCAAGCTGAGCTTTCCAGGCTAATTTAAATGTTCCTATTCTGTGACATTTTGAATTCAATTTGTTTGCATATGAGGCATCTAAATCAGGACAGAACAGAGAAAGTGAAAAAATTATTTCTGCGTCGGGGATGACCCTGGCTGCCACGGCTGGACTACGGTGGTTTTCCTGGATTCCCTGCTTTGCTTTGGACTGCAGTGCTCTGTGTTCTGCAAACTTCATTTCCTAGGACCCCAGGCCCCCTGATTCTGGCTGGGCTCAGCCCAAGGGAGTCAGTGAGGATCAACTGCAGTGCTAGGGGAAGGGAGATGCCAGGGTGTCTCTCCATCCCACTGTGGCCTGGTCAGGGCCCCTAACGCTGGACCTCTGTGGCTGGATGGCCCCTCCTTCCATACTTCTTTTTTTTTTTTTTTTTTTTTTTTTGAGACGGAGTTTCACTCATGTTACCCAGGCTGGAGTGCAATGGCGGGATCTCAGCTCACCGCAACCTCCGCCTCCTGGGTTCAGGCAGTTCTCCTGCCTCCGCCTCCTGAGTAGCAGGGATTCCAGGCACGCACCACCATGCCCAGCTAATTTTTTGTATTTTTAGTAGAGATGGGGTTTCACCATGTTGACCAGGATGGTCTCGATCTCTTGACCTCGTGATCCACCCGCCTCGGCCTCCCAAAGTGCTGGATTACAGGCTTGAGCCACCGCGCCCGGCCTCTCCTTCCATACTTCTAATTCCCACCAGACAGCGTGGGATTCAGGTTTGGATAACATTTCCTTTCCAAGCCCAAGGTGGGTGGAAACTTCTTTCTGTTATGTCTCTCTGGTTCGCCACACTACCCCTACTTGACTTTTCAGCTACTTCAACGTCTCTGTAACCAGTTCCCCACATTACTGTCCCCTCTACTGAAGTCCTAGGCTGGGCACTGTTTTCCTAACTGATCTGTGTGTGGAATCTCAGAGGGACCGGATCTGTGATACCAGCGAGGAGCCGGTGGACCTGCCTGTGTGAGCTGTGTTAGAGCTGGGACTGGGACCTAGCTCCCCCGGAGTAACTTAAACACTCAGTGCTTCCTTGTTCGGCAGGGACACTGGAAATCTGGGGGCCAAAGTGGGCCACGTTTTAACGGTAAGGAGAACCCCAGAAAATGAGCTGAAATTGTCAGTTGATGCATAGAAATGGTTCAAATCCTCTAACTCAGCCAGAAAGCTCCTTCTTTGGCTTAAAAAAAAAGACAAAAAAATGAGATAAAAGACAAAAAGAGAAACTCAGGTGTCAAGAGATTAAGGAAACAGGGAGATGTCATTTCTACTTTATCATATTTGCCTCTTTAGACCTGCAGGAGAAGGCCTGGCTAGGAAGTGACTTCTTTCAAAGAGAAGCAGGGGCCCCTCATCCCTTGCCCAGAAGAACTGGACCCTGTTGGGGACATTAGTGGCTCAGCCCAAGCATCTTGCAATGATGACTCCCTGGGGCAGGTCTAGGAGTCTGATGCTCACTGCAACCAGGCCCAGGCTCCTGGTAACCTGCGTTTATGCGACGACACCACCAGCCTGGCCATGTGAGACTCAACGCCTCACTCCTGCTCCTCCATGGCTCAAACCAGCCTGCTCAAAGGGCACTCTGAGGTCAGCAGGACCCACAGAGCCCTGGAGGACACTGCCTGACAATGGGCCTTGAGTCATGATGCATTATTCATAGGCCCCTGAGCCTGTGCCAACTCTCACCCTGTGCAGCTCAGAGGAAGTTTCAGCTCCAGAGACACGGGTGTTCCAAAGGAATACGTGATGCAGGAAATTACTCCTTTAACTTTATTATTGTGGTAAAACACACACCACATAACGTTTGGTGTTTTAGCCATTTAAAATGTACAGTTCAGTGGCATTTAGTCCATTCCCATGGTTTTGCAAGCATCACTGCCACCATCCATCTCCAGAACTCATCTTTCCAAACCGAAACCGTGTCCATTAAACACTCACTCCCAAGGCCCCCTGCCTCCAGCCCCTGACAACCACCATTCTGCTGCCTGTCTCTGAATTTGCTCATGTAGGTACCTCCTATTAGTGGAATCAGACAGTATTTTTCCTGTATCTGGCTTAGCTCACTGAGCAAATGTCCTCAAGCTTCATCCATGTTATAGCATGTGTCAGAATTTCCTTCCTTTTTAGGTCTGAATAATATCCTGTTGTGTGCATCCTACATTTTCATTATCTCTTCATCCACTGTTGGACATTTGGGTTGCTTCTATGTTTGGGCTCTTGTGGAGAATGTTGCTAGGAACACGGGTGTGCAAACATCTCTTTGAGTTCCTGCTTTCAGTTCCTTTGGGTGTATATCCAGAAGCGGACTTGCTGGATCCTCGGTAACCCTACGTTTCACTTTTTGAGGAGCCTGCACGCTGTTTTGCACAGCAGCTGTGCAATTTTACCTTCCCACCACAGCGCACAGGGGCTCCGATTTCTCCACATCCTCACAAACACTTGTATTTTCTCTTCTTCTAAGAAAAAATATTAGCTACCCTAATGGGTATAAAATGTCTTTTAACTTTTTAGTTTACTGTTTAGAAAATTATTCTATATATGGGCTAAAAGTTTCACATTGCATAAGAAGGTACACAATAAAATCTGAATATTTCTCTCTCTTGACCTCAGCTTCCCAGCAGTCAGTTACCACCCTTGGGGCTGCTTACCAAGATGGACCATGCCTAGATAAGCTTATATATGTGTGTAGATATTTTAAAAAACAAATAGGAGCATGGACTATGTATTATTTTATGTGCTGCTTTTAAAAAAATGAAACATGCAATTTTTTGCTAAATATCATACTCTGTAACTGTATTTATAGGTGAGAAGATATTTAAATCTGCATAGGACACTGATAGCCAGAATTAAGAGTTCTCATCCTTCTAGCCTAGTATGGAAACCTTGGACTTCAGTAAGATAACACACACACACACACACACACACACACACACACACACACACACACATTTATTTTTATATATACACAGTATATTCACACCACTCCCAGCAGGGGGAGCAGCAGCCTGTCATCAAATACATGACAATTTCTGCAGAGAAAAATAAGAGTGAATTACACTTGGTGGGATGTAGAGCCATGCATTCATTGCAGTCTGGTTTAGCCACCAAATGAGTTTAGAAAGCTTTCAGTTTTTAGAGCTTTCTGGATTTCAGAATTGTGGGTAAGAGATTATAGGCTTATACGAATAATATTCAGGACTTGTCAGGCCTTGAACTGGGAGTTTTTCTCATCTTATTTTTGATACTCATAATAACCTTATGAGATAGAAATTTTACAGAGGGGAAACTGAAGCTCAGAGACAGAAAGGAATTTGCCCAGCTATGTCCTAAGCTAGGATTCGAAACCGGGTCTTCCTGTTCCTAAGCCTGGGCTCTTTCTGCTGTATCCCAGGAGACCATATGTTGTTGTTCACTGTGATTATCAACAGTGCCCCTTCATCCTCAAAGGAACCAGATCTTAGAATATGGGTCACATGGTCACAATAGCCTTACCATGCTATGCCTTAGTGATGGAGCTGCCTTGGTAGTTGAGGCCTGATCCTTGATTCCCACAGACGTCATTAGGTTTAAGGACAGACTACAGACCTTGCTGGACTTCATTCTGTAGGTGGACAGCACTTCCTGGTGTATTAAAAGGGGTGTGACAGCCACATGAGCTTATCCTCTTCCAGGAAGACTTCCCTGATTTCCACGAATGCCAGATCTAATGGGCCATGCTGCACTGCTTACCTCTTAACTTTGTGAGCTTTTTTGGTTCCGTTTTGTCTTTTAAAAACTGTGATAACATGCATATGACATAAAATGAACCATCTTAGCCATTTTTAAGTGTACAGCTTAGTATTTTCTCTTTAGAGATGGGGTATCACTCTGTGGGCCAGGCTGCAGTGCTGTGGCATGAGCGTAGCTCACTACAGCCTTAGCCTCCCCACCTCAAGCCATCCTCCCATCTCAGCCTCCTGAGTTGCCAGGACTGCAGGCATGAGCTGCCACACTGGCAGTTCTGTAGTGTCAAGCACGTTCACATTCTTGTGCTAACATCACCACCATTCATCTGCAGGAAACCTTTTGCAAAACTGAAACTTCGTACCAATTAAATACCAACTCTTCATTCCCATCTCCTCCCAGCCCTAGGCAGCTACCATTCTACTTTGTCTCTATGACTTTGACCACTCTAGGCAGCTCATGTTAGCAGAATAATTCAGTGTTTTTCCTTCTGTGTCTGGCTTATCTCACTGAGCATCGTGTTCTCAGGGTCCATCCACGTTGCAGTGGGTGTCAGAATTTTTTCCTTTTTAAGGTGTTCTTTCTAATTCGCTTGTATGTTCATGCTTGAGGGTGAGGACGTCCTTGTGGCTTTTTGAGCCTCACAAAGGAGGGCAGTGTGCTTGGCTGCTGAGTCAGTGTTAATCAGTGAATGATGATTTGACATTTTTAGGACTCGTGGCTGCCCCAGGAGAGAGGTAAGAGAATTGCAGGTTGAAACAGGCCCCCAGTCAGTCCATGGCCTGGTCTTTTGTGGCTTTAATACTTTCAACCACACGTATCCTTTAGCTTATGACATAGGTTAATAACTGGCTTATACACTTAATTAAAAAGCGGATGTTACATAATGATGATTTATCAGTTATGCTACCCTTCCCCTTCAACCAGAGGTGTAAGTGTGCATGTGTGAGTGTGTGTGTGTGATTGTGTGAGTGTATGTGTGTGAGTGTGATTGTGTGAGTGTATGTGTGTGAGTGTGATTGTGTGAGTGTATGTGTGAGTGTGTGTGTGTGTAAGGGAATCACTTTGCAGTGGGCAGCTGGAATGCAGACCGTGGATAATTTCTCTTCCATTTACCCAACCTTAATAGAAGCATCAGTTTAGATAAATTACGGATATAGTACTTTCTAAGTTTGAGACCCTAACTGGTCTTCTAGAAGTGGTTCTAGAAGGAAAGAAGAAGAAATCTTGAGTTTCTTCCTCCCTCTTTTTATGTGAAGAGTATTCTTTTCAAGGGAGATTGGGAAAGAAGGCTCTGGATTTGGGTGCATGAACTCTTTTACCACTCAAGGCCAAGAGACTCCCC